GTGGTTTTTCACCTTTTGCACCACACACTTCCAGAGTAAAGACAATAGCATCTTGTGACTAAAGAATGTAAATAATTGGGGCCAGCAGGTAGCATAGTGGTTACGGTGCTAGATTCCCACATGGTTGACTGATGTTCCAGTCCCAGACATGGTGGCTTGAATGTCACACTAGATGCATGTGCATGTGAGCCCAAGATCCCAATAAGAGAATGGAAAAGAGTGGTTGTGAGATGGACATCCCCCCTGGGAAGTGATTTCTCACTTTCCCTCTCACTGTCTCTCTCTGTTTCTCTCTGGCCAGCACATGCACCCTATGTATAATACTTTTAAAAAGGGTAGATGATTATTATAGAATATATTATTATATTGGGGAACCAACAGTTATCATAATGGCTATGTCACTGGACTCCCATGTAGTTGATTGCAGTTTGAGTCCCGGACCTGGTGGCTTAAACTCACACTGGGCATGTGTGCGTGCGTGCCCAGGATCCTGAGAGGAGAAAGGAGGAGAAGGGATTGCAGCATGGCCATCCCCCCTGGGGGGTGATTTCTCGCTTTCTCTCTCTCTGTCTCTCTCTGTCTTTCTGGTGAGCGCACGTGTCCTATAGCAAAAACCTCTCAAAAAAAAAAAAAAAAAAGAGAGAGAATATATTATTATAGGTAAGGAAGGATCATAATGTGGAAAACTGATCATTCAAGTTAGCATATAATTATGGTGCAAATTATTAGATGTTTTATGATTTATACATGGTTGATAGCTTTTATGTACATATGTTTATACACTTATTCAGTAGTACATATATAAATATATATCTGTGTGTATATATACACATACACACACAAATGAAAATACAGAAGCTGATTTTATTTACTAGTTAAGCATCAGAGTCATGGTTCTAGCTTAGCAATTTATTAATAATGGAGAAAAGTCATTGGTGGTCTGCTGTTTAAAATTTTTAATCTTCATGGAAATCGTATTTAAAATAAATAGGCTTGACAGAGCGTTTTGAAACTTAAATATATTACAAGGACACTAAACAATAGAGGAACTAGATAGTGGACTTTGAGATACTCAATTTAAGGGCATTTGTTTTCTTTTCAGAATAAAGAGAAATGGTATTTAGTAAGGGCAGATTTATACATTGTACTGCAGCAGAATAAATCCAAGACTAAAGGTCATAAGGCCTGAGTTCTAGCCCTATTATTGCAGTTTTATTAGCTGTGTGTTCTTGGGCAACTCATCTTTCTAGTATTTTGATTTCATTACTTTTAAATGAACATATTGGACCTGAGTGTTTCTAGTTTTAAAATCACATGATTCTTCATTTTTCTTTTGCTTTGCAGTAGAATTTATTTAAAGCAGATTTATTTTGCATTTTAAGGGTACAGTAGAAATTAGCCATGCTCCTAAAGATTGATATACTTGGGGCCAGCAGGTGACATGGTAGTTAAAGCACTGGATTTACACATAGCTGACTGAAGTTCAAGTCCTGGATCTGGTGGCTTGAAAATCATGCCAGATATGTGTGTGTGTATACCCAAAATTCCAGGAGGAAAATGGAGGAGAAGGGGTTGCAACATGGCTATCCCCTCTGGGGGTTGATTTCTGAAGTTCCCTCTCACTTGTCTCTTTGTTTTTCTCCAGTGAGTGTACATGCCCTATGGCTGCAACCTAAAAAGGAAAATAAATAAATAAAATAAATAAAACAGAGAGAGAGAGTGATATATTTGGAAGTTGATCATATGAACTGAAACTTTACTGACCCAGGAATTATGCAGGAATGAGTTTTATACTTTTCTGGAGCTTAGTTTTTAGAGGTTATTCCAGAAGCGTTTTTCTTTAGAGTTTCCAGTGTAGTGCTATTTGATCAAACTTTCTGTGGTGTTCTATGTCCATGCTGTCTAATATGGTAGCTACTAGCCACATGTGGCTGTTGAGCACTTGAACTCTGGCTACTGAAACAGAGAAACTGAATTTAAAATTTCATTTAATTGTAATTAAATTACATTTTAACTGTGATTAGTGGCTCCAATATTGAATAGCACAGTGCTGTTGTGCATGTTTACATGCATGTGTTTGTGTGTACATGTGTATGTGTGCATGTTTTTCTATGCATATGCATGCTGCATAGAGAGTAGGATGGCAGGAAGTAAACCAATAGGGTTGAGAGACCATTATTTTAGATGGTGAGTGTTGTCTATACTGCTCAGGATGTATGTGAAGTAGAATTTAACTCAATTCAAACACCAATTTCTACTTTTACTTCTTTATTTTTGCATTCCATTATGCATTATGATAACCATTATATATAATAGACAGCATATTGTTAAAATAATTGTATTTTTTTCTAATTTACCTATTGTTTAAAACGCAGATATTTCTAGTATATTGAACATGATATACCAATTAAATTTTATTGTCTTGCTCATTCTTAATATCTTTCATTACATGAAAATATTAGTGGTATTTATGAGACATTTGGAATGTGCTTGAAATTATTCAATATTTGTAGTAAAGTGATATAGTATAGAATCATGAGTATCCTCTTTGCTGTGTGACCCTGTGTAACTTATTTATCTACTTTGAACCTCAGATTCATTATCTGGAAAATAAGGATAATAGTTATACTTGCCTTGTATGGTTTTTAGGTTGATGAGGTTAAATGGTGAATTATATAAAACACCTAATACTTGTCTGGTAACTGATGATAATAAAAATAATGATGATTATAGTTTTGGATTTTATATTTAGCTATGGATTCAGAAAACACACAATGGGTATTTTATGTTTATAGCTAAGTAATAATATTTTATACCCTTAAAGCTAATTATCTTTTAAATTTAACTTTGTAAATCATGACAATTATTTTAATTTTGGATTGATATTGTGCCTGTTCTCTGAAAAGGGCAGTAATTGTGTAGTAGCATAAAGGAATTGAAATAATTAAGATAACTTTTTTGTTTTCCATATAAATATTTCCATAAAAAAGTATTGCTTTAGCAGATTATGTTGGAAAATAACATGGTAATATGACATTTCATGTTATGTTATTTGTAATTAATTAAATATCTATGAGAATTTGATGAATAGTAAATAATACATTCTTAAATTTGTCCCTTTTTCTGTTCAAACTACTGACTTCAAAGTGTCTCCTAATTAATTTATGCTGTAGTCAATTTTATATTCACACATTATATATAAAGTAGATATTTAATAGCATTGCAACATTTGTCTTATTAAATATAAAGCTATTTTGATGTTGATACATTCATTAATTTTATTAAGTTTTACTATTTTTATCTCCTGATCTAAATACTTTTATTTGTATAAAGGTACACTTGCAAGACTCATTAACTTGTTTCTTACAGAAATGTTCTCTTTACTTGTAAGGTATTAATACAAGCCATTAAGCCAGGATTTCTTCTGGCAAAAACAATCCTAGCAGATGGCAACTTTTCTCTCTATTAATTTTGGATTGGACATGTACTTTGGCTTGTTCGGTCATGTCCATATTTTTAACATTACAAGAATCATTCAAGCAAATACAATGATAATATAGCTATGGACCTATACTGTATGCAAATGTCTGTCCCTGACTATTGAAATATATACAGACTTACGTGGTTTCTTATTGTAAATAGGAATGTTAAGTAATTCATTAAAGAATAAGATTCATAATGACTTATAAGGTAAGGCTTCTAAGGTAATGCCAAGTCTATGGCAAATATTTAGTTAGTTGTCTTAAGTGTTTTATCTTATGCTTTGAACATTCGTAGTACTTGTACTACATTTTTCAATTATCATCTAGATGTCCAATAATGTGAGAAACAACCTCAGTCATCTCCTTTAGAGGATACAATCTTTTCTCCCTATATTGAACAAAGTAACCCTATTAAAAGGAGAAGTCTGGAGAAGCCAAGTCAAGATACATTTGAAATATTTTTCTTTTGGCGATATGTTTTTCCCATACTACTGTTGATTCATTTATACCGCCTTCTATGTGGTTAGCAACTTTACTAAATTTGATATTTTCGAGGAATTTTCTTGCAGTCAGCTCTTTGAGCACCCTACTACTCATTGCATACTTTAAAAATAATCTATTTAAATTTGCAACTCTTCAATTAAAGTATTAGCTGGTTACCTTAGATTCACATAGCATTTCCCAAAAATGCTATTCAAGAATAATATATGGAACACCTGGCAATTAGCATTTTGTTGGTACCCTTGTAGCTTGCAATTACCAGAAAGTAAGTTCGTTTTTATAATAGGGAAATCTCAAAATTAGAAGGTAAGAAAAGCAAAATTCATTTTCCAGTATCAATATAATTAATGAAACACTTCACTTGAAAACAAGCCCTTATATCTTCTTTACTATGAAGTGCACATTAGTATTGGTGTTACGGTGCCTTCTCATTGATCTTAATTCACCTGCATTAATTTTTTTCCTATCCAGTAAGTTAATTCGTCTTAATTATGTATTTTAATACTCTATACATTTTGTGTAAATCCATCCTAATAAGGGGATAGAGAGAATGTAAATCAATGGAATAATGTCTCCACGTTATCATTGTTCCCTATTTAATATTAGATACTTTATTACCGTATTTGATTGATTTTTGAGAATGGTTTTTATAACCATGCAGAATTGAGACCAAGTGTACTCTAAAGACAGCTGGATATGAAAAATACATTTCATGATCTTTTAAAAGGGCTATATATGTAAAGTTTTGGACATTTGATTTCTTTAAAAGAAGTTTAATATTCATTCATATTATTTAGCAAACATCATATCTTTGGTAGAATTATTTTGGACAACAGAGACCTTTTTGTTAATTTTATTATTTTTACTATAAAATCATAATCATTGTAAAACTTCTTATATTAAGAAATATTTACATTTGATATATTTTTGTATGCCATTAATGAATGCATGAAGTAGTTGCTTTCTTTATTTAAGTGTTTTCTTTTTCTCTTAACAAAATTTGCTTTCTAATTGCAGGTGGCCTGCATGCAATTTATAAATGCCCTTGTCACCTCTCCTTATGAGCTTGACTTTCGAATACATTTAAGGAATGAATTCCTGCGTTCGGGACTGAAAACAATGTTACCAGTAAGTTCAGTGTACATACTTATTATGCTTGCCAACTTCAACATTTTTTTCTCTTTCAACAAAGGTACTTCTTGAAGCAGAATAAATAAATGTGCTGTGCAATTTTTTTATGCAAAGTATTAGACATTTTTAAGCTTTTAGATACTGAAGAAATACCAGTCTCTATATACAAGTGATGATTTGAAATTCAACTCATGATGTGCCCAGAGTTATATAAAATTTTTTTGTCTTCTTTAAGTCAAAAGAGAATTTCTTTTCTTTGAATTTTGAATATTGAGAACATAAAAGACTGGGTATTTCATCATTTCAATTTTCATTTAAGAATTTTTGCTCTCCTCTTTGATAGCTTAGATTGATTTCATTTATATTCAACATAACTATGGACAGAAATTTGATTAGTATATTCTAGACACATTGCTTAAGAATGATATTCTTGTAACAGTGCTTTAGGAAATTTTCTAAGGAGAAACCATTTTACTTTTTAAATTAAATGTGAAGACTGTTCTAATTATGATAGTGTTAAAAATATTTTGCAAAAGCTTTAGAGTCTAGATCTGAGATAAATAAGTACACTTATTTTATAAATAAAACTACAATAGCCTGTATTTTGTTAAGTATGTTAACTAAAGAGTAACTTTATTCAAGACCATGGCATTGTTAAGGAGACAAGTAGAATCTCACTCGTGTCTTCAGTTAAACTACTGAGAATACACCTAAGAGACAAGAGGTTAAAGTATGGGAGAAAGAGGGACCAACAGCTAGTGTAATGGCTATGCCACTGGACTCCCATGTAGTCTACCACAGTTCGAGTCCTGTACCCAGTTGCTTAAACTCACACCGGGCATGTGTGCGTGCATGCCCAAGATCCCAAGAGGAGAATGGAGTAGAAGGGATTCCAGTGTGGCCATCCCCCCTGGGGGGTGATTTCTCACTTTCTGTCTCTCTGTCTCTCTCTGTCTTTCTGGCGAGCACACGTGCCCTTATAGCAAGCGGGGACCCGGGCCCTTATAGCAAAAACCCCCCAAAAAAAAAAAAAAAAAAAAACAAAAAAAAAAAGTAAGGGAGAAAGAAAGAAAAGAATAAAAGAGAAACGACCACAAATACCAATGAGCACTTATATAAGACCTCTAGGTGATTAGATGATACCATTGTGTGCCGTGATTTGTTACTTGTGGTCAGCTACCCCTAATGGAAAGTAGTTGAAACAAACCATAGCAAGTTGTATAATTGGTTCTATTTAAATCCATTTAATAAGTTGTGTGACTGAGTCTTCCTGGTTCCTGAAATTTCTATTTCAATTCCACCTTCAGTGGTTCTTTAATTCTTGACTTTAAAAACCAAGGAGTTAGTTGCAATGAATCAATACAGCATATTAAGTGAGCCATATAGAGAGGGTCAATGTGTAGTTAACTTAAGCACATTCACCAATTATAGTGTGTGTGACATAAGTTTTTTAAAGAGACATTTGTACATGCATGTTTATTGCAATATTACTCACAATAGCTAGGACAGGGAATCAACCTTAAGTGCCTAACAACCAATAATGGATAAAGAAAATGTGGCACATGTAATTTTGATTTAGACATTTTAGACAATTTAGATTTTTAGGCATGAAACTGAAAAATCTGTATCATACTAGATAATTTTAAACATGAAAATGACTGAGATCAGCAGATGGTATAATGGTTATGTTGTTGAACTCTCATGTAGTCGATCACGGTTTGAGTCCTGGACCCATCCAGAGGCTTAAAACTCATACCAGGCATATGTGTGTGTGTGTGTGTGTGTGTGTGTGTGTGTGTGTGTGTGTGTGTTTGTGTGTGTTTGTGTGCCCAAAATCCCTCAAGGAGAGTGGATTGTGGCATGCCCATCCCCTCTGGGAAGTGATTTCTCAATTTCTGTCTCTCTGTCTCTCCATGGAGCCTACGTGCCCTATAGCAAATATCTTTCTACAAAACAAAAAGAAGGGACATTACAAAAAAGCTAAAAATTTCCTAGAAGAGTCTATACACACACACACACACACACACATCATATAATATATATTATATTATATAGTATATGCATACATGTAACACACATGTATATATCTGTTATATTGATATCAATATATTGTTATATAGTGGTAATATATATTTAATTTTATTTTTATTCATTATTATTATTATTTATACATTCAATCGCTACACATTTAGATTGTAAAGAGACTTTACCCAGCATGATATACATTTCAGTCCAGCCCAGTTGAGAATACTATACACATCTTCATCAACAGATGTGTGGACAGTCGGTATATGTTAAGTGGAGACATACAATGTCTGTCTTTCATAGCCTGACTTGCTTCACTCAGCAACAAATCTTCCATATTCATCCACTTTCTATCAAATTCCAGGGCCTTTTTTTTTATGGCTGAATAATATTCCATGGAGTATATGTGCCACACTTTCTCAACATAACTTTTTAATTTCATCATCAGTCTTTCCTCATGAGAAGTCTTTAGATAGCTAGAGATAATCCCATAGTCTTAATTCTATTTTGCTTTTGTGAGTTTCCTTCCTGTTGGTTTCCATGCTTGTTCTTTCTGGACTGGATCTCTGTTTCTGAGACACTAACATCTTTGGACATTTGCTGGCAGCAGGGGCTCTTTAGCATTCTCTACTCACTCATAAATATGCTATGTTCTCTGTGTTTGGTGTTGCTATTACCATTACATATTTATAATTCAGTAGTAATTTTCTGTCTTATGTATGGAATGGCTAGTCAGGAAAACTATGACTCATTTTAATTTAGTTTACTTATTGTTTCAGAAAAGGTTTGATATGATTGTTCTGCCTTTACTTTTTGTATTTCTGTTGGGGTGTATTCATCTCTGTTGGGCTAAGTGGTCTTATGGTATGTTATTTATTTGACTACACTGATAGCTAATATTGTTCATCACTGTTTCTAAGCTTTACTTTTTCATTTGCTTCTTGTGGCACCATGTATTTCTTAATATATTTATTCTTAACATATGCCTCCAATTAGACTTTTCCTTTATAACACATCTTCAGTATGCCCTGTTTCTCAGATTTCATTGATTCCTCAGCAAAAGAAAAAGTCAGAATTATGTCTCTGCTTCTAATGTTTTGAACTAGAACCTACAGAGATTCTTCAAACAAACGAACTGTATCTAAGACAGTAGAATTACCTATGACTACATGTGGCTCTGATTCTCAACCAAGAAGTTGGACATGTGCCCCTAATGAGAGATTGTCAAAATCTTGGAGGAGAAGGAGAGATGTTTGGTAGGAACAAAATAAATCCTCCTGAGTATTTCTGATGTACATGTTGAGAATCAGAATCCAGACAGATAGACCTTGAAAATAGGGGAGATTATTTCTTTAGTACCATAGATTTTACTACTGTTGTTGTTATAGTTTAATTATCACAATTTAGAACAAAACATAATTGTTACTGTTTTTTCTTTTTTTTGAGGAAGATTTTTGCGATAGGGTGTGTATATTCACCAGAGAGACAGAGAAAGAAGAGAGACAGAAAGCAAGAACTTACCCCCCAGAAGGGATGGGCATGCTTAAGTACCTTCTCCTCTTGGGATCTTGGGTATGAAGGCACATGTGTCTGGCCTGAGTCCTAAGCCTCCAGGTCTGGAACTCGAACTATGGTAAACTACGTGGTAGTCTGCTAGAGTGGATCATGTAAATAGACCAATTCTGGTCGCAGAATTGTTACATTTTAATGTACACTGGATGTACCTTAGTTATGAACTACTAATCCACTAATTAACTAGACATATAAATTTAAAACACTAGAATTTATAGTAACATTAAATATCCTTTGTATATGTACTGGAGCTTAATAATATACATATAGAGGAGTCTTTTTTTTTTTTGGAGAGGTTTTCGCTATAGGGCGCATACGCTCACCAGACAGAGATAGACATAGAGATAGAAAGCAAGAAATCACCCCCCAGGGGGGATGGTTACGCCATAGTCCCTTCTCCTCCATTCTCCTCTCGGGATCTTGGGCATGCAGGCACACGCGCCTGACGTGATTTTAAGTCACCGGGTCCGGGACACGAACCACAGTCGACTACCTGGGAGTCCAGCGACATAGCCATTACGCTAACTGCTGGTTCCCTAGAGGAGTCTTTAAAACCCTTGTACTTTTCTATTCTTATTTTATATACAGTTCTAAAAAGAGAAGTTACTTTTTAAAAAAAATATAGCATATTCAAAGTAGCAAATTAGATGTGACTAGAGCTAATATTAATTGGTTATAGTTGATATATGAATAAAAAATTATACATACCTATCTGGAATCATTTGTTAGTATTTTACCAACCCTTGAAATCATCATAATTTTATAGTAAAGTAAAATTTTTTCATAAGAGTTATTATAATCATCAAGCCACAGTAATTATTTTAATTATATCCTGTACACATTTTTTCTCTAAAATTACTCCCCATCCCCAGTGGTTCAGTATTGGGTTTTACAGGGAGTTTATATTTTATTTATATGAAAAATTCACTTGTGATAAATTTGCTTTAGCAATTTGGAATAAATTAGTTGTTAAATACAGTGATTTTAAAAATAATATTTGCACTTTATTTAATTCACCTTGTTAAATTTTCTCCACTTGCCTTTTATTTAGTTAAGTAAATTAAGTAAATATTAGATAAATCAGATATGTGAAAGAGCAACATAGTAAGAAATGATGTTCACAGGAAGTAGGCATACTTTATTAAAAGACTGACAAATACTTTCTTTTTATTTTGAATACTCAATTTTGATTGCCTGACTGGTGATCAATCATGTACTGGTGATGGACTTTGATTTCTTTTAAGTATATTATATTGTAGAAACGTAATTACATGTTTCAGGAATTCCACAAAAATAATTTCCTATTAATATTGCAGATCTGTTTAAGAAATAACAGAACCATATTTATATTATTTTGCATAATTAATAACAATGTAATTCAGTAATTTTATGGTATTCCA